TAAGAGACAGGGTAGGGAGTGGTGTCCGAGGGAGGGGGCGATTCCCCTGGCGAGGGGTCAGATTTACCCGACAAAAGCAAAATGGACGTGGTCAAACTTTGATTAAAATGTTTCGAAAGTGGTCCAGAGGGCGAAGCCCCCAAAAATCTTGATGATTTAGGGGTTTTAAGGGCTTATTTAATCGATTTTAGAGTCTGTTAATATGTATAAAATGCATATATTTTTTTTCTCCCCGACGAATTGTGCTTTTTCTCCCCGACCGGGGGGAGCAACTCTCCCCGACGGGCCGCCGCCCCCACCCCCGCTGGCACCACCCATGCGGTTGAAGTCCAGGGGACTTGACCCACTGAAAGCTACTGATATTTAAATTTTGGTGAATTTTATTAATTATTAGGTATTCCTCTCTAATATGACTTAATACTGGGGAAGATGCAGGATGAGGTGGTAAGGGGGTGCGTGAGAATCCGCACCAACCCATCATTGTTGGTCTGGATACCCGGAAATTGCACTCTCACCTTAAAAATCTTACCGGTTCATATCAACAATACATATACAACAATCATTTTTCTTAATACAATTTAATTTAGGGGGAGGGTCAATCGATCCGCCTGCATTCCCTACATCCGCCCCAGTAATTGTTTTAATATCTGAACTAAAGCCAAAGTCCACATTGCTTCTACGAGCACAAATTCCGAAAATCATGAGGGTATTTTTGATGAAAAGTTAACACAATAGCAGAACGAGGAATGAGGGATGAATAAGTTAAGAATAGAAAATTAATATAGAAAGATATATGGTGTTCCCTGACTCGGGAATGGGGGTTTCTAGGCATCCCCAACGAGGAGGCTGCTGATTCCCTCAGTCCCTTTCTGGTGTCACCACTAGTTCAAATCTTTACGAAAGAAACGCCCAGATTTCGTTGGATTTCCACTGTTCCTTTAAGTAAAATGCATTATGTTAACATGGTCTCGTGTTTTAATTGTAGACCCTCGCAATTGAATTTACTTTCCTTTTTGCAATTGAGGTCATGTACTATTAATTATTACCAGAGGGTAAATTTAGCTGTCGTTCATTATATTCATCTTTTATTTTCTGTCGCCTCAATGAACTTGGTTTCATTTGGCTAAGAGACATGTAAGATGCAGGTATGCTTGTGTATGGTTTAAAATTAGTCTGAAGTCTCTACAATTCATATAGATACAATAGAAAATGTCTTTTGATATAGGTCAAAGGACAATAAGTGCACTTTCGGTTATTTTTAGACCATAATTCTTATTGGATCAAATAGTAACACACAGTTCTGTTTGTTAAGAAAAGTGAAACAACATATTTTTCTATAGTGCTTAAACTACTGGATCTTTACAACACGAAAACGAAAACGAAATAGGCCTACATTAACTTGCCGTATTTATTTAGTCTTTTATGAGATTGTTAGGATAAGCGGCACCATTTTGTGTGTCAGATGGTCAACTGTTCTACCCCCCTCCTAGAACCACACCCTGAATATTTTTCAGAGGCCCTTGCTTGAGCTTTTAGTCGGTCACCGTTCGGACCCGTTAGTATGGGGCTTCTGAATGAAATGAAAATTGCTATGATTTGTGAACGTGAGAGGAAAATAAGAATAACCGGACGGGTGTTGCCTACTCGAGATTCTTATGTATTATTCAAGTGATCTTGTAAGGTAAAATAACCTACAACAGCATTTTTGATACTTTAACCTACCCATGGTTACAGATTCTACTATATCACCCATGTGCACATAGGCGTAATGTTTTTCAAGTAAAATAAAAATGAGAGGAAAATAATAACAACCACCAGACGGGTGTTTCTGACTCAAGATTCTTATATACACTAGAATACAACAAAAAGTTTGATAGGTTACTATTGCTACCTACGGCTACATGTATTAATATAAGGCCTATATCATAGGACTAATATGTTTTTCACGTAAAACAAATAAAATAGGAAAATATGTTCTGGAACCAACAGAAATGTAACAGAGGATGGGAAATCTCCATCCATGCGGAAGATACTTCTCCGACATTAACTTTAAATTAAATTAAAATTAAATGGTTTTCCTCAACTTCAACTGTGTGTCAAGAAGTTTTCTGAAAGATCATTTCAATAGAAAATGTGTAAATATGTTTTGTAGTGTACCGTGCCTTTATAAAGGCAAAGGCCGAAGCCGCTTGTCTCATGGGTCAGAAAGGCCTATCACAGCGGTACCGTGCACATGACGGGAAGGACCAGGTGAAAACACTACCTACACGGCAGTGGCGGCGCCTGTAGGTGGGGGGGGGGGCATGCATTCGGAATTAAAAAAAATATAAAAATAGGCCACGCCAAGCCAACACATGTCTGTCACAGTCTGAGAGTGTCATTTCTGGCCATCCAGAGGTTCCTATTTCATTTGGGAGGGGGTCACCCACTCAAACCGTTCCCCCAGTCCCGGGCCTACGAGCTTAAGTTCCCCTTGTCTGACAGCTTCCTCCAAAAAATATATCCTAGAGCCGCCACTGCTATACGGTATATATAAATATATAGCCTAACCTTTTTACTACAAACTGTGATTGCTAAATCGTTATGGGTATTATTGATTGCACCGGGAACATAACTTACTGTCTGTATTCTGTATTGTAAAAATAGGCCACGCCAAGTCAACACATGTCTGTCACAGTCTGAGAGTGTCATTTCTGGCCATCCACTCCCACGCGCATCCCCTAGATACGCCACTGAGCATGTAATGCAGTAAAATCATAAATCACGAGTGCCACATCTGTATTGTAAAAATAGGCCACGCCAAGCCAACACATGTCTGTCACAGTCTGAGAGTGTCATTTCTGGCCATCCAGAGGTTCCTATTTCATTTGGGAGGGGGTCACCCACTCAAACCGTTCCCCCAGTCTCGGGCCTACGAGCTTAAGTTCCCCTTGTCTGACAGCTTCCTCCAAAAAATATATCCTAGAGCCGCCACTGCTATACGGTATATATAAATATATAGCCTAACCTTTTTACCACAAACTGTGATTGCTAAATCGTTATGGGTATTATTGATTGCACCGGGAACATAACTTACTGTAAATAACCTACAACAGCATTTTTGATACTTTAACCTACCCATGGTTACAGATTCTACTATATCACCCATGTGCACATAGGCGTAATGTTTTTCAAGTAAAATAAAAATGAGAGGAAAATAATAACAACCACCAGACGGGTGTTTCTGACTCAAGATTCTTATATACACTAGAATACAACAAAAAGTTTGATAGGTTACTATTGCTACCTACGGCTACATGTATTAATATAAGGCCTATATCATAGGACTAGTATGTTTTTCACGTAAAACAAATAAAATAGGAAAATATGTTCTGGAACCAACAGAAATGTAACAGAGGATGGGAAATCTCCATCCATGCGGAAGATACTTCTCCGACATTAACTTTAAATTAAATTAAAATTAAATGGTTTTCCTCAACTTCAACTGTGTGTCAAGAAGTTTTCTGAAAGATCATTTCAATAGAAAATGTGTAAATATGTTTTGTAGTGTACCGTGCCTTTATAAAGGCAAAGGCCGAAGCCGCTTGTCTCATGGGTCAGAAAGGCCTATCACAGCGGTACCGTGCACATGACGGGAAGGACCAGGTGAAAACACTACCTACACGGCAGTGGCGGCGCCTGTAGGTGGGGGGGGGGCAGGCAGTCGGAATTAAAAAAAATATAAAAATAGGCCACGCCAAGCCAACACATGTCTGTCACAGTCTGAGAGTGTCATTTCTGGCCATCCAGAGGTTCCTATTTCATTTGGGAGGGGGGTCACCCACTCAAACTGTTCCCCCAGTCCCGGGCCTACGAGCTTAAGTTCCCCTTGTCTGACAGCTTCCCCCAAAAAATATATCCTAGAGCCGCCACTGCTATACGGTATATATAAATATATAGCCTAACCTTTTTACTACAAACTGTGATTGCTAAATTGTTATGGGTATTATTGATTGCACCGGGAACATAACTTACTGTGGCTCTGTCGTATCTCATAGGCCTAGCTCTGCAGTGGTCACGATGATATGCCGATGAGGCTGGGACTGGCCCTGGTACTGGTATGAGCATTTATAGTGCGCCTTTTCATTGACTGTTATAAAGCGCGAGCCAAATTTCATAGTTTAGGTAAAAACTCAAAGCAGCTTGTACAGTGGCGTGTCTAGAAGTTTTGAAATGGGGTGCTAATGGGGAGGGGAAGGGGGTAAGGTTGAGGTGGGTGCTCGATGATCAGTTGAGGGCCGCTAACTCGCAAAATAATGTGATTTTAGGTAATTTTTAGCTACTTGCAAGTGATTTTTTTTAAGGGGGGGGGGAGTGGGGCGATTGGAGGCGTGAGTAATTGTTGATGGGGCGTGCCCCACTCCCACGCGCATCCCCTAGATACGCCACTGAGCATGTAATGCAGTAAAATCAGAAATCACGAGTGCCACATCTGTATTGTCGATACAATTGACAAAATCAAAACACAACACGTATTACAAACACAACAATCAGAACACAGTAATTTGAAGTACTGTACTATGCAAACAGTTAGTGAGTCTTGAATGCAGTTTTGACAATATTGGGATCATACACAACAACGTGCAATTGTAACCATTTGAAAGTAGTTTTGACATGTTTCGTACAATGATGACATAAGTTATTTATGATTTTATTTTCATAGACCTAATTATTACTGTTGATTTATAACTAATTATTTATAAAAATAACTAATTATTTATTAAAATAAAAATTAATTTATGATACAGTATAGATAGGAAGCCTACAGTATATGAAAGTACAAAAAACACAAAATTCCCATGGTTACGGGTCAACATTTACAAGCATACAATTTAACGCATGCACTAGGCATATACCAATGTCCATTCTAAATATTGAGAAAAAAAAAACAATTTTGGTTTGATGTCAAGTTTATTGCTCAAAAGGTGTCAAAATATGAATTTTAATGATTATTTTTTTTATTTTGAGACCACTGAAGGTGTTTTGATACAATAATAATAATAATAATAATAATAATAATAATAATAATAATAATAATAATAATAACAAGATGACAATTTCTCTTAATGGTGTCCCCTTTATATCGGTTTCCTCTTAATGGGGGGTTGGCCGTGAGCTAAAAGATATATTCCCCTGGTTTCACGGAAAAGCGTCCCCTCAATAGGGGTGTGCCCTGAGTAGGGGTGTCTCAAAGGAAGGGTACTGTATTATCGTTCGTCCAACAATTTCGTTGAGACATTTTTTGGCAAGGTTGATTAATTTTCGACTCGCTATAACTATTTTCGACTTGGCATGAATGTTTACACTAGACCAGTTGGATTTAACAATGCTTACATTGATTTGAATTTTGCATTGTTAATATGTAGACAGACTCCAACATTCGATTTAAAAAGTAAATAAGCTCGCACAGGTCCAGTATTGTTTTATGCTACTAGGCTAGAGTAAGTCTGTATAACTCTTCGTCGTTTTACATAATATTATGTCCCAGACATACCCTTAATTATGATCACCGTTTTATCTTTTTTAGGCCTATTCTTTAAATGCTGTTCTATCACCGTGCTAATTCCCAAACGACTTCCTTGCTGACGTTAATAGGTATTTAATATTGGCAACGGTCCATGGTCACATGTTATAGGCCCTACAGAGATCAAAATCCTCATAGATCGTTTTTTCTTTCTCTAAAAGGAACAACATTGACCTATAACGACAAGCGAATACACACACACACAAGTAGTTAGTCTTATGGATACGTTTCCCAAATCGCTTGCAAATCAGAGTTTTAATAGTCTCATGTTGATTGATCTACGCCATGGAGTGTTAAAAATAGTTGCTAATCAATAAATTCAAACGGACTATAGTGACCCATTTTGTATAAATCAAACAGTTGATCTGTAAGAGGAAAATGTTCTGTTTTCAATCCTCCTAGGTAGACTAATCCTGGTAAAACCAAAATTAGGAATTTTCTTTACAGTCTGTTATTAAATAATTTATATGAACTTGATTTTGAAGTTTATTTAGCTGAGGTCTTTGTATGTTGAGGAACAAATGAACGTTAATGAGGACATTGCGATAAACGTGTTGAATATGTGTTCAATAATTCTATTATTGCGATGATGATAATAATGTAGATGAATAAATGAATTACCGGTAATAATATTGTTATTATTAATGAAAATAATAATAGTAATAATAAGGATTAATAATAATAATAATAATTATTATAATAGAATATTAATAATAAATAATAATGATAATGATAATAATAATAATAATAATGATAATAATAATAATAATAATAATAATAATAATAATAATAATAATAATAATAATAATTATAATAATAAAGTGATGACGAAACTGATAATAATAATGTCAGTTTCTATATAGCGCTCTATACAAACTAAGGCTGAGAGCAAATTGGTGACTATTATGGTGATAATCACAAGTGTGTATAATTTATTTAATTGAAGATTAGTTGGGCTAAACCTAGTTTGTCTTATCTGCCAACCTATGCCCAGGTACGGTAGGTTTCCATAGTAGGTTACGTTTCTTCACCCCCTGAACTTCCCCCCCCCCCCTCTACCTGGATCAGGTGATGAAGCTTTGGAATGATCTTATAATCATCCTCATCATCAGTATCATCAACTTCATTATTTTTATTCTCATCTCATCACATCACCATCATCCTCATAATCACCTTCCTCATCATCATGCAGCATTATTATTATTATTATTATTATTATTATTATTATTATTATTATTATTATTATTATTATTATTATTATTA